AAATGACAGTAAAAATGGATTTTTTTCTTAAAACTTTAACACACCCTATATCTCAAAAGTTAAGACGTTTAGAATATAGGTTCATATGAAGTTTTTTGTAAAAATGGGCCCAGGAATTACCCCCTTCAGTAATAGCATGTTAGCATGTTATTAAAAAACACTCTGTATATTTCAACTAACTTAAGTTAAGTTTAGCAAAATCAGTCCTACTATAACAATTTCTTTAAGATGTAAAAGGTTGTAATGTAATTTTAATTGAGTCGAAATCGTTGATCTGTAAGTCGGGAAAACGCAAAATTTCTTCGTGCAACCAAAGCGGAAAAATCCATTATGCAAACCACGGGGAAAATTCGAGATAATCCATTTTCCCGATATTCCCTTTCGTGTATTTCGCGGCTTAGCCATCGAAGTACAAAACGCTTATATCTGTCTCCACAATTTTACATACAAGAAAAAATTCGATGAGTCCGCATATTCTTTTCCAAATTCAATATAGTGAATCCATTAGGATTGCGAAGGGTATTCGGCGAAAGTAAAACGTGAAAAAAAAAGAACAGAAAGGCTCGAATGAACACGAGAAAAGTCAATTTCACGCTTTTTAGGAATCCGAAAAATTTTTGTTTTTTACTGCTTTGACTTGATGTTAGGTTAAAATATTTGTAATTTTCATTCTTTGTTTTACTCTTTATTTAGATAAGCGAAAAAAATTAAATTACATCTAAATTCTTTTAACTTAAATGCCTTTGATGTTGACTAGAAATTTAATATTTCTATCAAATGCTTTTATATGTATAATATGGTAAAAGTACTCTAATATCATCAATAAATCTAACGCATAGAATATAGTAATAATATAGTATGTTTTAAATTAACTAACCAATATTACTCTAAATGTTATTGTTGGGTACCTGTTGTTATTTTTTCTTCCGAGTGTAATAATTTTTTGAACGCGCAAATGAAATGAGATACTCATAATTTAATTATACTATAATAACACACCTACAAATTATTTTTCTTCTACACAATTTTCACAATAATTACTCCATCAAAAGCATGGCGAGTTTATTTATTTATATTTCATAGTTAATTATTCAGAGAGCATTCCATTTAGTAAGTAATTTCAATAGGTATACAATTTCAACCATCTAATTAAGCTTCTGTATTGTGTTACGAATTCAGCGAGCATAAATGACAATTAGAAGATTCGAAATTCCTTAAATTTCCTTCAAATAAATAACAGGAGCGACACGTCTAAATAGATTTTGACCAGAGAGTGTTCTGGGTAATCCTACTTCGTCTTCTATTGTTCAAACCGAACAATAGCTCGTCTAATTTGACGTTATTAGTTTCAGTTTTATCTCCTGTAACATTTCCATTGGGTTCATGAAACACTCGAATAATATGTGGGTATTAGTGCAGATTTAGATTTTATATTACAATTGTTTTTCGATAATAAAACTAATATATTACAGGTCTTACAGGAGTATAATAGTATGCCGAGTATAATAAAGGAATAGAGGAATTGGATTTGCTTGAAAGAAACCTTTTTTGTAATAAATATTATCCATTAGTATAATCTAACACATAAAGCAAGAATCCCGGCCTATTAGATAAATTGTTATAGGATACCAGATAAATCGCATCAAATTTCGAGATAAAACCTGCAAAGAAAAGGATTGCTCGGAGATTTATTCTAATGTCGGCCATTTTTTTCTAAATCCACATAAATTCAATAAATTCGCACGGCTAGACGATTTAATGCATTTGATTTTGATCAAAGAAATCGGCTAGCAACAATCTTCCCAAATTTGCCGTAAGAATCGATTTTGATTAATTTGAGCCGTTACACTAATTACATTAAGGCTTGAGGCTTAAGGAACATCCACCTCAAATTTCCACACATTCTCGGCATGCATCGGAAACTTGTGCCCTCTAAGGTTAAACATTAGGGTAATAATAGTTTCGAGACGTTAAATTTACGTTCTCAGGATTTGGGATACAGCAGCTATGTGTGTGCGCGCTTTTACGCCGTTATATAGATGAATAGATTAAATTGTTCGGAAAAGTTTATCTATATTACGTGACACCTCAGTAGGATGTAATTTTAGCTAGACTATCGGCGTCTACACTTCAAATCCATTTATTACTTCCATTCTAATCTTTTTCGCGGCTATTAAAGCGAACGTGTTTCAGTCATTAATACCGAGTATGATTTATTAAAAATTCTATAAGCACCTGGAGAAGATTCTATAATTTTTGGTTTAAATTATTAAATCATTATAAAAGCTGAATAATTCATTGTCAATTAGCTTAATCTAAATATCAAGGTTCAACCCTTCTCTTCATACGATATCTTTAACTTAGGTTTAATTAGCTACTAGGGTATATAGCCACTCAACTGAAGGGCAATGTTGCTACCTAATAATATCCCTTTTAGGGTAAGAATCCCGTAGAAGGGTTCGGGATAAATTAAGAAACAAAATCTAAACCAAACTAATAATAATAATACTAATGCAAATAATACTAATGGATAAATTTAGAAACTCTTATAAGGGTATGTTTCGGTAAAGATTTATAATTTTCAATTGCTCGAGTATCGCTAGCACGCACAATATCCCTCTGCAAATGGGAGTGAATTAGGCAACCGAACTGAAGCGACCGGATATGCAGGATTCGCTCTGCGAATCTCGTTTGGTTTACCAAGTAATCTGCGAATATCGAACTATTCCCCGAGGTTACTAGAATCCGTCCAGCATTATCAAAACGTTGATAGGCGACCGACCAACTTAATAATGATACGAAACTTCCGTTTGCAGCACGAACACTTCATGCAGTTTCGTTATTGAGATTAATCGCAAAATAGTAAATTGGCGTTTAATTACTTGTAGCAGTCACTAAATGCCACTAAGCTTTGTAATTATTGGATACTTTGTCTATTGATTATTATTAGTACCTATTAATATCTGCGAAAAATGGCATTTAATTGTCGAACACTTTACTACTAAAACTCATTTTATGCAATGAGACCCGAGTAAATGAAATATTTAATTTGAAGCTTTTAATAAATTTATCTCTATCCACTTCTTAACGTCGTCTTCGTCACTTCATTGTGGATGATTAAGTCAGTTTCAAAAGATTTCCATCGTTATTCTAACGCATCGAAATGAGAGTCGGAAAATGAAAAAAGAGAGGGGGCGAGATAAGTATAAATTAAAGATTAAATCTGATATTGCACCGCTATTTTCCGTTATCTATGTCCCAATCTTCAACCTACTGAGGAGTTGCCTCTGTTATTAATCGCCCACTTCATTTTCGCAATATCTCATGAAGTTCCCAGCAGTGTACAAGAGATATTAAACTTTTCATACGTAAGTATGTGCGAGTTTATTAACGTTTAAATAAGTTTATAACGAGTTTATTAAAAATAATAAATAACATAAAATGAGATTTTATTCCAGGAACGAATTAATAAAGGTAATCCACGAAATCGAAATTCTAAATGTGAATAATAGAAAAATTAATACCTTATTCAAACAGAATTTGGAACATTTGGAAACAAAGTTTATTAAACTAAAACAACATTATATTGGAAATATAGCGGGCACTGTATTTATCTAATAATTTTAAATTACAAACGAAATTGGAAATATAATAGGTTTCATTCGATACAAATTAAAACAATATTATTAGATCCATTCGAAATGTACAAAACAAAATCATTTTCACTTTGTGTCCATTTAATATCCTAGTTTCGAATTAGCGATTATTGATACCTATTATTGTCATGTAAATATAAACTTCATTATTGTTTATTGTTTTTTAATTGCCTGCTTTAGCGTGAAATGGGTTTTTCTATGTAACAAAAGTTGTAGCGTAAACAAAGTCATTTCCAATTCATTTTCCGACCAGTCACTTTATTTGTTATTATAAGAGACACCTGTGCTTTCCAAAGTTCGTTTCGGCATTCCACCAAGCTTACTCCATAGAGTATTCTGGAGAGTTCAAAATTAGGATCCCGGCGTTTAATCTACACAAATCTGTTTGCACAGTTGTCTTGTTAATTGTCCCGAGATTATTACCGAGATTTATTTTATCTGAGTTATTCTTAATTTTATGGCTGGAATAATGGAATCTCCCTATCCAGCCGACGATCGTATAACGGTCAACGCTAATCCCATTTGAAATTTTATTGCTATCCAGGGAAACGGCGAAGAAACCCTAAATTAACAGCACATTTTGAATTCTTGCACTTAATACTTCAATTTCTCCTCTTTGTTTTTCTGGTTTAATTATATTTAGATTTCGGATAGGTATCTAAAAATTGTGATGTGTTGATACAATCAAAAAATCACGTAGTAATATAACAAATGGAAAATAACTCTTTCAAGCAGGTTGTAAAGTTTATTAATTTATTTTAGAACCTATTCTATTAAGCGTTATTAAAATTATCATCGGAGACACAAATGACATGTTGTTTAATAAAGGATTTTCTCCTCCATAAAAAAAGGTTTGGATAAATTTTATTAAAGATACGAGGGGACATTTTTATTTAACTCTTGTGCTGTTTTATGAATTTATTTTAAAATGATATTTTCAATTAATTAAAAGCAAACCTTTAAATGGTGCAGATGTGGTGTAGATAATGAAATACTTTCACAATAAATCATTTATATGCTTCCACATCGCATGATTGATTAATATCCTGCCCTCAAAACGAATCACCTGTCACAGTATAAAAACCCACGAAATAAGCCATTATTAGAATTTTTCAAAATTCGAGGAGATTCCTATTAAAATTACATTAGGTAACGCATATGAATGGCATTGAAAATAGATAAGCGCACTATACATGTGGAGCTACTTAATTATTAAAAGTTATGTTTTCGTTAAAGGCTAATTGTGAGTTTCGTTCGTTAAAAAAACGAACCCTCGTACATTGTTATGGTTTTTATCAGTCTGTAGAATCATTGTAAATGCTACAATCATTTGATGTGTCTGTGTAACACCAAGCTTATAGGTGACCTAAAGAGGTCAAGTACTGTCGGTTCTTTGCTCAGCCAATCTGAAACCGCTTTAGGTCTCCAAATAAAATAAGGTAAGGCATTATTTTAACTGTCTATAAATATTATAGAGTAAAGAATTTTAGATGGCATCCAAATTCCTCGCAGCTCTTAAACGCAAGAAACACATTAATTTCAACGAAGATTCTCCTCTAAAAAAATGCCTCAACCTATTAGACCTTACAGCTTTAGGGGTGGGAGCCACGCTAGGTTTAGGAGCGTATGTACTAGCAGGATCTGTAGCCAAGAACGTTGCAGGACCGGCTGTTTGTATATCATTTTTGGTAGCTGCCATAGCCTCAGTAGGAGCAGGTAATTATACCATTTTGAAAATAAAATTACGCTTATCATAAAAGGGTACGAACATTATTTGTTTTACTGTGTAGATACTATTTATTTTACTGCGTTTTCGTACCAAGGCTTATTATTTCGTGTACGTGCATTCATGTGCGAAGCATGTAAGCATCAATTAAAATAAGCTAATGTTTAGGTTGGAACTTAGTTCATTTAATTAGTTAAAGATAAGAATAACTCAACTTATTTGCAATGTAGGTTTGTGTTACGCTGAATTTGCGGCCAGAGTTCCCAAAGCTGGATCTGCCTATGTGTACAGTTACGTTAGCGTTGGCGAATTCGTCGCCTTTTTCATTGGATGGAATCTTATTTTGGAGTATGTTATAGGTAATTAATACATTTAAAATTAACAACTCCATAGGTATTTTAATTTTTGTTTACTGCTGCTTCTAGGTACAGCAAGTGTGGCAAGTGGTATGAGCAACTATATTAACTCGTTAGTTGATAATAAAATCAAAGATACTTTACAAGAATGGATGCCAATGAACGTGAGTTTTCTTTCGCCGTATCCAGATTTCCTCTCATTCATATTCGTGATGATATTAACTTGTACGTATCTAAATCAATTTAGAAATCTACTCATCGATAAACCACACAACAATTTATTATAATTTCAGTCCTTCTTGCTTTCGGCGTGAAAGAATCTTCTTTAATTAACAACGTATTTACCGTAATAAATCTCGTAACGATATGTTTGGCTGTAGCAGCTGGATCTATTAAAGGTGCGTGTTTCCAATATTAGTTAGCTAAGGAATTTTATTTTCTTTCTTTTACCAGCTACGCCTGATAACTGGAAAATCGATGTGAACACTCTCAGCGAAGAAGATAGAGGAGTCGCCGGAGCCGGAGGTTTCATGCCCTTCGGAATATCGGGAATAATGGCCGGTGCAGCGAGGTGTTTCTACGGTTTCATCGGATTCGACGCTATTGCCACTACAGGCGAGGAAGCAAAAAATCCACAAAGGGATATCCCTTTGGCCGTTATTTTATCGTTGACCATTATTTTCGCCGCATACTTTTCCATTTCCACTAGCTTGACAATGGCGCTACCTTACTACTTGCAGGTTTGCTTTTAAACTACCTTTTGATGTAGGATATTAAACATTAAGAAGTTTTTAGGATCCCAACGCGCCGTATCCGCATCTTTTCGACGCTTTTGGTTGGACTGTTATAAAATGGGTGGTTACCATTGGTGCTATTTTCGCACTTTGCACGAGTATGTTGGGAGCAATGTTTCCTCTGCCGCGAGTCCTTTACGCCATGTCCAAAGACGGGATTATTTTCAAACAATTATCTAAAGTTAACGAGAAAACCAAAACGCCCGTTTTAGCGACGTTCCTGTCCGGTTTTCTATCAAGCAAGTTTTGCAATCTTTTACTCTAAAGACGCCAACTTCGATCATTTTCAGGCGTAATGGCTGTAGTGTTTAATTTAGACCAGTTAATAGACATGATGTCCATCGGTACACTATTGGCTTACACGATCGTGGCCGTTTCAGTGCTTTTGCTCAGGTTTGTAGTATATTAAATGTTTGTTAAACAAGCTGGCTAGCTTTATGTAGTTTCTCCTGGGTAAATAATGAACCAACGTTTAACTTTGGTGTGATTAAAAGTAAACAAGTAAGCGTGATTATGTCTACCTGTTAGTTTCATTAAGGGACTTGTTTTATCATATTTATTATTGCAGGTACGAGCCTGCTAAGTCAATAACTGAAACCGTAAATAAAAATGCTAAGGAGAAAAATATGGAGCGTTTTAAGTACACTAATATAAAGCATATTTTCAATCTTAATGGTAGTAAATACCCAACGAATGAGTCGTCTACTTTGGTTAATTGGAGTATCGTGTTATTTAGTTTGTAATTATTATTTTATTGTTGGTATTTACCTGAAGTATTTATTTTACAGGCGTTTTTTCTGCTTTTTTCGGAGCGATTATTGTGAATGGCGGTATGCTGATAATCAAAGAACCCATTTACATATTTGCTTTTACGGTAATAGTGGTTTGTATTGTGTTATTGATGGTGATTATGATAAGACAGCCGCAATCTGATGCCCAATTATCCTTTAAAGTATGCACTTTTTTTCAATACACACTTCAAATTTCTGGTACATTGTTAATTTTTCTCCAGGTACCTTTGGTTCCTTACGTACCGTGTTTAAGCATCGCATTTAATTTATTCCTGATGTTCCAATTGGATCTACAAACTTGGATTAGATTCATAGTATGGCTTATTATAGGTAAGCGTGTAGATATTTATTTATAGGTTTATTATTTTTTCTATTTTTTAGGTTTTCTAATTTATTTCTTATATGGAATCAAGCAGAGCGAAGAAAATAAAAGAAGAAAAAATCTCTTGAAGGAGCAAGAATTGCATAAAGTACAAACTGTATCAGAGCAAGCACATAAAGAAATTATATCACCTTGAAGTACAATAAATCCATAAGAACCGAAAGAATTTCGATTAAAAATTGTACCTAAAAGACCTCTATAGAATCTAAAATACCCAAGCTTGAACGCGGCTCATATATTCCTCAATAAATAACAAACGATTTTAATTAAGAAATGTGATAAAACTTTATAAAAGTACTCACCTATAATAGTCGCTAAGATAATGAATCCCAGTAAAATCGCCGTCGCTATCATGGATACCAACTTCATAGTGTCATTGGTGGCTTCTATTGTCCCGTTGCTTTTGATGGACGCATTATCACTAACGTTGGCTATCCCGTAAGCCAGAACGTTTTCCAAATTTTCAAAGTATCGGCTGGAATTTTCGTCAAACACTATGGGATGCCACAAATCGTCGGATTCGATGGTCGTTATGGGTTTTAAAATGGTTAGAGCTAATTCTAGCGGAGCGGAAATAGACGCATTAGCGAATGAACTCCCATTGAGGTCTATAGGAACTGATGGAGCGGCCCTGAAAGGGATCGGTGCGTCTTTTATAGACATTATGTTTTGCGAGATTAGAAGATTTCTTATTCAATCACATTAGGGTTGATTTCGGTTTTGACGATTTGGTTTAATATTCGGAAGGTTTCTGATGCCTTTGCGAGTCGTCGGCATTTGCTCGGCTTCGAATGGATTTATTTCGGCACCTGAAAGAAAAAAATGAATCGATAAAATCGGGTAATATATTCTGCGTTATTAACTTTCTTGATGCGTGTAGTAAAAGAAAAAATATATTTTTATGGTAATAAGCGAATTAATAGATTGTAAAAGTTTCAAACTTTCGACAATTTCTGGGTCGTCCGTGGTAAATTATGTCCCGTATCACGAAACGTAAACAGCACATCTACTATGTAAACAATTTCCTGGGATTTGTTTTAAGTACGTGTAGCAGCTTTTAAGCAACAATAAATTATGGTTGCAAGGAAGGTAATAAATCACAAACACTCTTTTGAATTCATCGCTTTAACAAACAGCTCGCGCTTTTATTCGATATTATTATAGGAAAATGAGCACTGAAACAAATATACCTACTTTATACTATGCAATAACAATTCACAAAAGCTGCGTTAAATGCGTTTGATTAGATTACAATGAATTTCCCCATAAATTATATTTAACTGCAATCGAATTCGAAAACAGAGTAGAAACGATTTAACGCTAGGTAGAATTTCATACTAATTGCAAATTGCAAATTAGTTTTCACGAATATGCATATGTAGTAGGTATGTTCGGAAATTGAATTTATCCAATTTTTCGGTAACAAATTAATTGATGGTATAAATTGTGTTTCGTGCGGAAGTACACCGCAAATTATACTAACGTTGGTTAGTTTTTTCATTCCTCTAATCAACATCCACAAATTGCTTGTTATTACCGGAGAACTAATTCCTTCGAATTTATTGCGGCATAAATTTAATTAATTCATATTCGTGTAATCATTTAAATTGCCGATCATTAGTACTGAAACCCATAAAAGTCTGGGCTATTCATTTCGTAAGCTAATACTTAATATTTGCTTAAAGTTTTAATGAATGGCGACGAAGTTCTGACCTCAAAGTTTCGGGCGTTTAATTAAAATTCGATAATTTCGTTGCGAAGTCATAATTATTCTAACTTTTAGGTTTGTTGAGATTGTAATCCGATAATCTAATCAAGAAAATGCGATTGCTTTAAGTGTCTATAGAAATAGATAAATTTTCATTTCATTTATAATTTATTATGCTTAGAGACGGTGTTATTTGCTAAAAAATAAATGTTAAATGATGATGTTTATATAAAATCGGTATAATTTAGATGTTATTTGCTGAAACGAGAAAGATTGTTAAACTAACTCAGAAATATAATGGAAAATTCTCTGCATTCTATGCATAATCTCCAGACAAAACGATAATAAATATTTTAGTAAAAGGAAAATGAGGATTACGATTACATCTTAGCCAGGATATAAAAGGATACAATGGAAAGATTCTTCCTAATTACAAAGGAAATTCCGCTTTACTTATAATTAATGTAATAGGTATGTAGTACAGCTCAAATATTTGATGTATATTTGAAACATTCAAAATACAAAAACAATTTGTGTCAGTACTGTACTGTTGAGAAAATCAAGAAAATCATTCCCGCCACAATTCCACCAAAACCGCCGCTCGAACTAATAATTTAAACGTAATTAAATCAGTGCAGGTCAATTAAACATCGCCGTCGATGAATAAAAGAATGATCATCAGGCGTCCGCTCTAACACATCCGCTCGCCTAATTATTCCACATTTGATAATGAATTCCCGAAATTCCGGAGCGATTTCGGACGCCCGATGCAAATCGAGGCATTTGCATAATTTCGAACGCAGCAAATACGACCAGAAGCGCCGGTAGGTGAATCTGGTCGTCGCATTAACAACCGTTGCGGTAAATAATGCTCGGTCAATTAGCTGCAGCTTCCTTTATACGATGCTTGATTTTGGAACAGCTCGAATATGTTACAAAGTTACAAAGTGTTGATGAATCCCATTGATTCGTGAAGGATAGGTATCTAATAAAATAGATATTCCACTGATATTTGCATGCATATGTGGTCTCGATACTCTGTAATTTACTCATTATTTATAATACACCTAATTAGTATCGAGGAGACGTCCTTCGAGGACCCCTCGATTTTCCATTTACCGTAACGCGACATTTCGATTCAATAGATTCATTTCCAATAATAACAGAAGGAGAAATTTCATGCTAGCTACAATTGAGTAGAAATTACCGTGTTGTAATCAATGTACTGATCAAATGATTCCTATTGTGACGAGAAATTGCTTCGTTCGCGTTGTCGATTTAACCTCAACCTTAGAAACCAGATATGTCGTACATAATTCATCATTTAGAGCCTATTTATGAGAAAGAAATAAACTTAGTCTCAATTATTGTGTCTTCAGAGGCTCTTAATGCATAATCAAAAGAAAAATGATTGTTTTAATACCCTCGGATGATTATAATTTTTTCGCTAAAAATGTAGGTATTTAATAACAGTCATGCTGAAGATGCCCTTAAGAAACGTGAATAAAAAATTGTAATTTGAATGTTTGAGAAATGAATGAAGACAAATAATGTCGCTCGCTGAATAATTAAGTCAAATTGTTTGATTTCATTCTCGATTCTTTTTGTTATAAAATCCGAGCAATCATTCCACTAGAATAAGAAATACCTGCAACATACGAAATTATAATTGACCGAGCTTGAATAGGCACATAAACGCAGGAATAAACAATAAAAAAAGATACCTATCAACTTGCACGTAATTTCAATCCCTCTGTGTTCAAACAAATGGAAAAAATTTCCATTAATATCGTGTGTGTTGGTTTGGAATTTAAAAAGTTTATTTGTGCCAGCCGACATTAACATTGCTTTTTTCTGCGGCTTCAAAGGATTTGTTTTCTATGCGCAAAAGGGAATTGATTAATTAATGCAAAACCACATTTCGGCGCTCGTCTGATTAAAAATTTGTTAAACTTCACACGATCTTTACGGTCTTTAACGACTTTAAGTTGACGAAGTTGTTCGAATAAGCGTTCTTAAATTGGATTATTTCGTGTAATGACTTGGTCCATAATAACCAAAGCGGGTTTGTTCTTTGTAATCTTCGCTGCTTGATCAGACATTAAACGTGCTTATTAGAATACCTTAATTACGGAGGGGTAAATACCTGCCTAAGCGAAGTTATCTTAAAAACTTTGTTATTAAATACCTATAATTTACCTTTGCTTAGATATTAATTCAGAAGTTAAGTTGCTTCATTTTTATTAGGTGTAAGTAATTTTCAATTTTATTTTCTAGCTTTCGTTTCCGCAAATACTTTTAACACGAAAAATTCATGTTAACGATCTGTTATTATTTATCGAGGCTGTAAATCATTTTGTTTCTATTTAAAACAAATAAAATGACTACTAATAGTGATTTTATGATAGTAACGTGGAATTTTATTAGTTTCTATTATTACGACAGATAAATAACCCTGAAATTGAAGATCGCTGATGGCGTCTTTCAACTGATTTATTTTTAATGTTTAGAACGTTGTGTTCTTGTTTCAACTCCATTTTGACCATTATTTTATAAAAGTGAGGAAAGTTTATTTTCGTTTCTAAATAACACAGATCTGGGAAAAAGTGTATAAAAATAAATGTAAAACGGTAAGTATATGATGTAGTTCACCAAATAATTCTTTCTAAAGAACTTTCTAAATAATTTCAATTACATTTCAAACTTATTATTTGGGACTCCACGAGCATTTTGCGTGTCGCCGTTTTATTTTTAAACTTTCTGTTTTATTATATCGCTATACCTATAGAAATTTGCCTAATTCGGTCACAAAATTTTTTACGTTCATAAACTTAAGTATTACTTTTTGCTTAAAAAGAATTGTACCTACCAACTCAGTTAAAAATAATATTGCGACATAAAAACTTTTTATCTGCTAATTTATTACTACAGCTTTATATCAACTTTCCGGACTGAACTTTAACGAATCGCTTCGATTCTTTAAATTACTTGATTCACAATTACTGAATTAGCCGAGACCGCAAGTTCTGAAGGCACGTAATTGTCATTGGCCGAACGAGCTCGTTAAAATACCCATTGAAAAATTCTAAAAGAATTAATTATTTTCCCGCAATAAAACCGTGCGAAAGTTCTTATCCCAACAGCGAAGTCTATCCACTAACTAGGCACTTCGAATCTGACAACCTTCCACTACGGTATAAAAATTGAGCACCCACTAAAATTCTCCGATAACTTGTTGACTTATTGATAGAATTCGAGTTCGAACTTCGGGTTGTTGCTAAAGAGATAAATTTATTATTGAATCCGCGCAATTCGGGAGAAAATAATGAAAGTTTGGAAAGGTAGGTACTACCTAATAATTAATTTAATAATTTAGTTTTTTTGGTGATAAAATTACCTAGTTGGCAGGAGCTCTACGGATAAACTTGCCTACCTAAAATTTGTTAGAGTCTTTGCACCCTTTTAGTTATATTTATGCTGCTTAAAACCAATTTACAATGAATATCTAGCAGAGTCGCAAGAAGTGACTTCAGCGCGAAAACTGGGATAAAACGATCCAGAAATAAGTAACACGAATCTAATGTCCATTAAGGGAACCCTTTTACAATGTTAATAAGATTATTCAAATTTACTTACATTCTCTTCTCTTTCACGATTCTCTTAAACTATCAAACCTTTGGATGTTATTAAGTAAAATACGCAATTTCAGTTTTGAATTATTCAAACTTCCCTTTTAAGTGGATACTTACTTCACCATTTTAATCTAAATTAGAGGGTCATTAAAATACAAAATTAATGGGTAAGTATTCTTAAAACGTTTTGAGAACAAAGAAATAGGAAAGTAGTAGAACTTTTAGAAACATAGAGTGCCATGGAGAATATTCAAGTATTTAAAAATTAAGAGATCATAAAAGACTATAGTATAAATATTTAGGAATTTTAGTTATTCAATAAATTTTTTCTTATTATTACTGCATGTAGGTTTATTTAATTATAATTTTGTGCTTAAATAGTATCATACTATTAGTATGTGATTAAATAACTGAAATGAATAAATTATAAGTAGATAGTATTGTAAAATTAATTTACAATTGCCAGATTTCTATCCATCATTTATTTCCATTAATATATCAACGTAACGGCCGGAAAAGGGGCAAGCATTTACAAACGCGAAGGAAAATCTAAACCGCATTTTAATCCCGCCTTATATCCTATTCGTTGATTTATTAATACAATACATTTTGTAAACATTCCATTCAACGAAACTTTGGTGCTTTTCTGCAGAACAAAGGAAACTAATAAATCATGGGCTGGCGTATTAGCTGGAAATGGGAAACGCGTACTATATCAATTTTACACTGTAAAGACAGCAAAAGACGTAACTCTTATAGTTCCTTTTTTCTTAAATTACTTACTATAAAGTAAATAATGGTCGGTTCACTGAAAAATGAGTCGAAGTGCGCGGAAGAATTTATGCATTACAATGAGAAAAATGTTAGACAGTTTCGCAATATCTTTCAAAATAATGAATGACTATACATTTGTATTAAAATATTAAACAAAGTGTTGTCAGTTCCGAAAAATATCTCATATAACATAAACTACAAACGTTCCTAATAAATGGGGTGCAAACTTTGTGCCTAGTTTATCTGCTGACTGATTTTCATCTTTTTAAAATAAACGCATAGAATTGAATTTTAAATTAAAAACAATAAAAGGTGTGGAAAACAAACGGCTTAATAGCCAATTAGCTAATTAATCGAATAAATAAACACTGAGATCACCGCGGGTTTATTTATTTTAGAAAAAGGGGCAATTTCTTTTTTATCTCCCCTGGGGCTATTAAAATTAGCACTGAATATTAAAACCAACAAACAATAGTTCTAATTTACAATGAACTTCAAACGTTATAATGTATGAGAACTCATGACATATGTTATTCTCACCCGTTTTATTAGGCTATCAACATTCAACGTTGTAAAGCTTTTAACTTTATATATTCTTCATTTATTATTTTTTGTGAAATTAATATAGTTAGAAGTTTGAGTGTTAATAAAATAAATTTTTGATTGATTGCTTGGAAGAAACCCGGTTTTTTTCTCTGAATTTTTAATTATTTTTAGCGATTCATAAGATATTTAATGGTCCTTTGAAAGTAGAATTTTCCAAAATTACCACGATCCATGAAAAACAAAATATAAATAACAAAACAAGAGGCGGTATTTTTAGCGCATTAGACTAAATATAATTACACCTTTCTATTATATATTTTAAATATTATTTTACTCTTAGCTGTTTACCATTCAATTCAAAATAATTTTTTTCAGCAATTTTAGTAAATATCCAATAAGCAAGGTGTTTCCAATCTTCCTCATTTATTTACGCACATCAAATTGTTTACAAAATACAAATACCGTGTATTTTTAAAATATATTTTCAAACCTTTAAGATAACCCCTAATATTTTTTTAACCAAAATATGACTAGTATTTTTTTGGTACGCTTAACTGTGTACGCTGTTAACAACGATTTTCAGCATTTAAAGATACAAAAGGGCTGCACATCCAGTATAATTAAATTACAATGATAATGATTAATGATTCCAGACGTGTTTATCTTCAGTAACTGGCGCAAAAATGTTGGAATAAATATGCAAAACGGAAAATTAATGGTTCGGTTTGAAACCGTGAACAAACGGATAATTTCTTGTAACTAATAATGTTTGGATGGGCTTTAATTAACGGTTGAATACGGTACTGAATGACTGCATTTGTACTAAAATAATGTGGAAATGGTAGCTTGTATAAAACATTTTCTGAAAAATAGTAATAAAAATAATTTATGAACCGTTAAATGTAATTTAATTGACAAACGGAGAAGAAAACAACCTAATAATGTTGCAACACTTGTCATTAAAGAGATCAACCCACTAATAAATTTTACTCTGAGAATTCGTTAATTTAGTAGTTCAATGAAAATGAAGAAAAATGTGCGGCATAAATTCTAAAAATATTTCAAAAAGCAAAATGTGCTTCCAAAATTTTGTAAGGAATCAAACCGATCGAGTTTATCTTATAAATATTTAATACTTATCTAACACGCCGAATAAAAAAGCACCTTCTTACTCTGCAAAACTATAAATTACTTTCATGCTTTCAATCTCATATATTCCTATTTTACATTCGTTCCGCGAAACTTCTAGTTACCCAAATCGGATTCCATCTTTTCACGCTTGATTCCATGAAACCCATGTAATAATATCGAGTGATTCCTCGATAGTAACTTTGAAACTCAAATCCATTGTTACGGAATCCAAGTGGAACCTCCTGCTTGACTGCTATCGAGGAATTCTACACAAATTTGGTAGTAACTTTTAACTACTTCAACACAGTATATTTCACATACCTAATTTTGCCAAAACTATCTACTATGTTTCAAAATGGTGACATAAAAATCGGAGACGGAAAAGTTATTCAAAGGGAAATAAATCGGAATCGCATCAAGAAATTTTCCACTGTACAAAATTCGAATGAATGGATGGAGCGATAGCGATTCCTTAGGCATACATCCATTGAACACATTTTTTATTATACTGTGCTTTGTAAATTTAGTTTGTCAATGAATAATATGCGTATGGCTTGACATGTATGCATGTGTAAAATAAATTCACGTGCCAAATCAAATAAAGAAAGCTTAAAAATCAATTAATCCTTTTTGTACTTATCTTTGAAGTAACGGAATGGAAGGTCTTTCCATTACATCTGTACTAATTTTAGTTCACATCTGTGGAGAAAATTGTCTTTGATCTGCACGCGGAACTCTCAAAAATTTGAGATATGATGTAATTTAAATGTTCTGAAAGCTTTTGAGGGCATTTCCAAAAGTGTTTATAAAGCGGAAAAAATCAACACATAGGTAATCGTCATAATGTGTCCAAGAACTCTCAAATATAAGTAAAACTTGCAAGAAAAAACTCTTAAAACGTGATTGTTTCCATCATGACTCCCCATCGCTTATTCTTTCAAAACCATTTCCCAACTTTTTGTAGAATTACAGCACGGTTTACTTGTCTGGTGAAAATGATAAATTTCTTTCGATTACATTTACAACAGACTGAAATAATGCAAAAAAATGTATTACCTTTCCACAAAAATTGGCTCCAATTTACACACAATGTTTGTTATTGGCGGTTTTAATTAAAATTCCATCCTACGTTAGTATAATTAATACCTATACAGAAAAGTTAGGATTACCAGTGGGATAAAAAGAAATAAAAATTATCGATGATTATTCTAGTAAGTAATTATGATTTCAAATCAGACCGTTTCTCGTTGAACAACTATGGAATAAAGAGTAGGAAAAGCTGTTAGAACGAAGTAAGTAGAATTAATTCGCTTAAACTTCCAAAACTATTTGAATTATGTACCAAAGTTTGAGTTAAAAATTTTTAGCACCGACTAGTATAGAGATGGAGTTCGGAAAGTTATCCTAATTATGATTTAACGAAAACGCTCTAATTCGGTAAATAACGATGTTTGTGCATAGATACATCATGCACTGTATTCGACATTGATGAGTTAATTGATTTCCTCGATTGATTCATTATTTATCGCTTAATTGTGCATCGGTTTTCCTAAAATGTCGCATCTGTTTAGTTTACTCGACTCAAACTGAACGCAATCAGATTGTTTTTGTAAGTGTGTGCAAACAAAATTAGCTTTTCCTGCAGCAGAAAATTTTTCCTGGCTGCGATAGTAAATGACGATAAAATCAACCGCATAAGTGCAGTTTGATAACTATTAACGCAGGAGTGTAATATTAAATTTTAATAAATTTATATGTGAAAAATAAAAAATATACTGTTAATATTAGTCGATATTATTCGTACCTCTAATATTAGAATTTTGAAGTGATATGCTATCAAATTTTTATGTATACTACAACGTGCAGCAGGGATTTCGAGTGTTACGGTATCATGTAACGAGTAATTAGTAGCCGAATTATGGCGGATGTTATTTGAGATACTTGCAGTGTGTGTATGTGCCTAAATAAAAATTAATTAGGCAACTGTGTTGTAATTTACATGTAAAATTAACTTTAATTTTTCCAGAATGATAATTTGTAATTTTACGATTTTTTCGTGCATTAAGTTTATTCCTTCATTAGAATATTAGTTTAATTAAAATAGTTGTAATACGTAGAACATTTTCGATAAAAAAATCACCCTATGGAAAACAAAACACCTAAAGGCAATAATATTGGAATTTTCTTAAATTTGCATTTTTCCTTATAAAAATGGTTTATATGATACCTCCAATAAAAATTGCAAAGAAATAAAATATAGAAAAGAAAAGCAAGAGTTAAAAATAACTTACCCGAATACGTATTATCGTGTTTTCATTCAATTTCGCAGCAATATATTTTTTTCGAACACCCTTAGCAATTCAGATACACTTTATTACTCAATTTTCACAGTATGAAAGAAAAATGCGCCCCTTCTTTAACGAACCCAAATTATACGATTATTTTTATACAGAAATATTCCATTTGAATTTTATTAATTACTACTGTTAATCTGTCCTCCAATATTTTTATTTCACAATTCGTAAATACAATTTCTTATTTATTTGATCGGCAAATACGTATAGATAAGAGTATAGTCGTCAGCGTGCGTAAATTACATACATTTAAAATCAAAATAAAAAATTATACGCTCATTAAATACCTAAAATTAGTATGTTTTTGCAACATTTATTATTTAGTAGAAGTCTTAATTACAGTAAATAAATCTTACACGTTTATTTTTGTAGTAAAAAAAATCTATAAAAAAATTACTTACCATTTGACACCCATTAAAATAAAAAAAAACACTAACTAGTACTCCCAGTCATTAAAATAAAACCAATGCGAAAATAGTAGATATATTATTTTGAAACTCTGCAAAATGTTCAACGCGCTTTTCCGCTATCGGAATTCGCTTCACCGGCTTAACGGACGTCCGACGTGCATGTAGAATTTGTGGAATATCTACAAGTCGACGCTCAGCACACTCTCGCAAAGCCGTGATAAACTGACGCAAGCGTCGCGGGCGTCGCTGGGCGTCTCGACGAGGCATCTGCGAGCGCGGCCCTTCGGTCCAGAGGGATGTCACTTTTGATGAAGGTGTGAAAAAAATTGGTATATAAATTGCTCGAAATGTACATTCGCCGAAGAGGAATGGGCAACGTAATTTACGATGATTCTCGAGGTGATTAAACGTAATGGATGGAGGATTGCGGAGAAAAAATTATGTAGCCTCGCGAAAGTTTGTGTAACTGCAACGCGATTATTTATCATTAATCGATTTTCGAAATAAAAATTTTGTACATAAAATCAACTTTTTTTGACGATTTATAAGCTATTTATGGAGGCGAAATAAAAACACCAATTCCACTAACATTTAAAATACCGCTACAACCAACGAATTATATTACCAATAAAAAACTTTCATTAGTAAAGGATTAGAAGGGAACAGATTTAAATCTAATATAATAAATTTTATCGATAGACAATATTCACAGAACGGGGCCGAACGCAAACAAATTTCGAACAGTTCAATACCAAACAGTTAGTTAAAGAGAGTCGTGCAATGCGATTAATCTCCCTTCAGAGAGGAAATTAGAATGAACAGTGCGGTCAGTTTTGGTCCAATACTGATGGCCCTTATAAACTCTTGATTTCGTGTTGCCGATTGCAACTGAAATAGCGAAAATTAATGATATATTGAATTCGAAATCAATGAATATGATTGGTGGGTATGGTCTATGGGCGGACTGGAGGTTTTTTAATTGTCGATAAGTAAAGTCGAAGGATTGAAATTTCGATTGTTACTCATCGAATACCTCAACCGAATTACCCAATAATACCTCTTTGATATAGGAACCAATTTTCTGGATAAAAAACAATTGGTTTTCTGCCTATAATTTAATTTATTATTAACTAGGAGAGGATTTTTTTCGGACCGCCAAGAACTTTAATTAAATATTCAAAAATTCAGAATAAAATTTCCAATTCAGAAAAAAATTAAAATATACTTAAATTGACACGATTAACATTTACTAATAAGATACTTGATCGTCTTGATACCTACAAACATTTTTCTACAAAAAAATGTATGGAAAATATTCCCCCTGTTCTCTTCAGAAGAAATAATAAACCAATAAATAGGAATACCAAAATTCTACTTATGCAACTCATTATACTTTTAATTTAAAATCAAAATTATAGCGACATCTATTGACAGTCAGTCTAGATTTCTTGAGAATTTTCTCGTACATTTTAGCGATTTCTGTTTTATCGACTCTTAATGTCATTGTCAATTTCAAAATGTCAAAGTTGAGTTTCTTCTTCTTCTTTCTTTTCTTCTAAGTGTCAGATTTGTTATTGTAAGTAGATGTAACATTATTTTTAATTTATTTAATTCATCCTTTAAAATTTATTAGTTATTTCATATTTATTCGGTAATATTCAAGCGATATTACATTCTCGATTCGTTATTTCTGCGTTTTCATTAGTTTTATTTTGAATTTTTTAGGTTAGCAATTGTGTATTGCAATGGCAAAGTCAAAGAATCATACCAATCACAACCAAAGTAAGTTTTTATTCTATTTTACCGATTGCTAGAATGTGTATTAACAATTGCTTAATTTTTAGACCGTAAAGCTCATCGTAATGGCATCAAAAAACCCACTAGATACCGTCATGAATCTACTTTAGGGGTACGTAAAATTGTTGGAGATTTCTACTCTACATTACTTTCATATATCTTATGTAATAATGAAAGACCTAGGTTTAAGATTTTTCTATTATTTGTATTTATGATTTTTCTAATTTTCAGATGGATGCCAAATTCTTGAGAAACCAAAGGTTTTCGAAGAGGCATAATTTAAGCACGAAACAACAACTCAAAAGGGCGGCAGAGAGAAAAGCAGAAAAAACTGCGAAGAAATGATTTGTTCTTAATGACCAATAAATAATTTTGTAAGCAATGATTTTTTTTACGTATAATCGTATTTCCACCTACAATCTTAACTCGTGAATATTAAGTTTACTTAACTCGAAAATATTTTTAGTAATTGTAATGTTCATAATTATTAAATATTGCAATCATATTTCATGCAAATTATTTTATTTGGTCACTATTACAGGGTGGTCGCAAAAAGTTGGCACAGGGCTTAATGAGGCCACATTGAACAGTTTTTATAAATTACTGATATCCAATTCAAGTATTATGATTAATAGATTTTTGTTAAAAAGAGCTTAATCTGTTCAAAAGGTGTTATGAGAAAAATTTTATTATTAACAACGGACTAATTCTTTTCCAAACTATTGAAATTTAATAATTGGTTAAATGCCAAAAATGAAATATATCTCTAAAAATGTGGGTTTTAGAGAAAATTACACTAAAAAACAAATCAAGTTTCGAATCCAAAATTAGGCAAATAACATGGTTGGAAGAATTAAGGGACTTGGACCCCCGTTAAATCTGTTATGGATATTTTCTTATGGAGGTAATTTATAAAAAATATTTTACACAAAAATATACCACTAAACAAAGATATTTCTATACAAATTTTCAAGAAAAAGAGTTAAGCCATTCTGACCCAATATCAAAAATATCTTCACTTCATCAAACTTTTACTAAACCCTTTTGGTTATAGGTAAGTTAGGTTAAATTATCGCATCTTATTATGTCTCAGAAGTCTATAGTTTTGCGACACCCTGTATATTAATCCAATCAATATTCGGTGTAACTTAATATATTAAAACAACAAAGTACATAAAATTTCGTTTATGTATAAAGCAACAAAATACCTACAATTTTAAATTGCAATAAAAACGCGTCCGAATAAATTTACATAGTTTTAAACCAATCCAATATAAAAAAAAAACAAATATAGCAACGGTTTATAAAATTACAATTATCTACAAAACATCTGCAACAACTCGCTAATAGAAAAAAAGCTTCATTAATAAGTTGCATGTAAAGAAAATTGTAACTGGCAAGAAATTAACAATATCTTATTTTATATAAGTCCTTAAATCTATACAGGAAAATGGGAATGTATTCCCATTTTAAGGGAACCCTGTAAATGCAGAAAAAATGAAAAAAGTTTCTTATTTATTCTTATAACAGTGGAAAAAATATAAATACTTATCTAAAATAAACACTAGGAACAGCGAAATTTGCACCTTAAAGCTAATAAAAGAAAGACAAAGAGTTCAATATATCACCAATTTTTTACAAACTAATCCAACAAAGTCCCTACTTTTGGTATTTAGTCGATCATAACATAGGCAGGAGAGAATATAAGATTTTTCAGTTTTAAATTAATTAAATCACTTGCTTAATCAATTATTATAATAACATCATTCAGCTACCAAAAACATTACGAAATTTATCAACATCAAACAAATTGAGTCAATTAAAAAATATTTTCTGTGTACTGCAAAAGCTAAGTAGTACATGATAACACATACATTGGGAATACCAATCACACCCTTATTCATTCATTTGCCTTATCTTCGAAGGAGTTTTCTCAAACGTTATCTCAAATTTCCGTAATGTTTGAATTAGCTGGGATTTCGATCACACCGAACAATTCGATAATACTAATAGAATACTCGCATCGCAAGCAATCAGTGTCCCCAACCTTTAGTCAACCTCTTCCATAAGCTAGGTTTGTCTATGTTAGCGGGGGGCGGCTGGTCGTTCCTGATCTGCTCGAGGAACCCTGCCTCGTTTTGGGCGGCGTCCTCCGCCTGGCCGTCGCCGATTTCTCTCAGATCTCGCATCATTTTCCTCCTGATGGTCTTCTTCATGCTCAGGTGGCGCTCTAAGGTCTTGTACTTGTGCTTCGTCCTGTTGTCTATGCTGTTATCGATGGGTATTTTTGCATTGTCTTTGTCTACGTCCCGGCCCGAGTTCCATATGTCGCGCACGTCTTTTATTTTTCTTTCGTTTAGTGACGACATTTTTCATTATAGAATCTGAAACAATTAGAAAAAGTTAGATTAAATTGAATTGATGGTACTAAAGTATATGGTTGGCTATTCGGAGTCGGGACAGATACAACCCTGCCGAGAGCAGAGCAGAGCAGACACAAAAATGTGGAACTCTTTAATATGTATTTGGGTAATCATCATAAAAAAATTAGTTTTTGGATTATTAAAAGTAATAGAATATTTTTCATGTGAATCGTATGAGATGGATCCAAACAAAAGGATTAATCTGGGTTTTCGTTAAAAATTTTAGTGTTAATAGCATTTCACGATGATACAATGAGAAACCATTTCGAGTTCTAAACAATTAAATTAAGGTTAATGTTCGAACGTAAATTTCTAAACAAAAATAGGATGCTCTTTCGATGCGTTTCCTTCTAAATAGAATTTCCGCTTCTGTAACGTTTGCCGTAAAAAAGGTCTAAGTAAAATTGGATTCGTTCGCATTATTACCCATTTGTTACGTTATTGAAACAAAAATTGTTTAACATTTAAACCATGAAAATGTGGTGATTTCTTTAGTAATAGATGCCAAAATTGTTACGGTAATGAATTCGAATAGCTGATTATGTAAAGATTAACGATTTAAAACAGTAGGAAATTCTACTAAGAGATTTTTATTAAAACATTAAATATTTTAATCGTTACTAATGAAAAATAATTTTAACGTATGTAGATATACATATAGGGCCATATCATATAGGTTTTTCAAAATCTATACCAATATCTAAACATGACCTTTCTGTAAGAACAAATAATAAGTTAACTAGGTTAATAGGATTTTTTCTATTGAGGTGCATAATTAAATAAAAAAAGATGTAGCAGTAGAATAAATAACAATGTTTAAACAAAGATCGGTTGGTACTCATAGCAGCAGAATAGATAGATATGTGAGAAATCGAATCTTATTTCAATCTCTAAGAACAAAGATATCAATTAACCATCGTTAAAAGTCTGAACAATGCAACTAATTATTTATTAATTGCACTCAAATTAAGAAAACATGAACAGTTTTCAAGATTCAATAGGTATGTAGTAATTAAGATTTATTTTTAAAATACCTAAATTATTTTAATGATAAAACTTTGCAATTTTGAATAAAAATTACTGTAGTTTAATAAAAAATAATAGACGAATATTATAATGTTTGGATTTTTAATTTGCAATTAAATATTAGAAATTCGAATATACGAGTACAAAAATTACCGTACAATTTAACAAAAATAAGTACCCCCAGACATCAATTTCAACGAGTCATCCAATTCCATTAAACACGTGTAGTTTTAATAAAACATTATTAAAACATTTTTTGTGTTTTATCGAAAGTACTTACTAGTAGGTAACCAAACGTTGACCTTTGTTTGGTAACGAAAAAAAGTGTAATAGTTTCATAGCTTTCTAAATCATGCTGAATAATTTAGTGAAAAGGAAGCAAAATATCATTTGGTAATTTGAATTTCCTTCAGTCGTGAACAAAAGAACATGTTGCCTACAGTAGTTTTTATTTCCTTTTGTTGGTACTCACCTGAGGAACTTTCACGGTATACCACTAAGTTGTATTAAAAGAATATATAGGGGGATCCCGCTATTCAAACACATTACCAGTTGCGAATTCGCATTAATTTAATTTAACACTCTGTATATATTTACTGTTTTGCAATCTGTAGCAAGTTTAAGATCAAGTTTATATTATATCTTATACGGAAACATGTTCTTCCTATTTCGTTTCTTTGATATAATGAAATATTTTTACCGTATACACTTTGCATAATTTATTCTAGAAGGGAAATAAAATAGAAGTACTAAAATTTATAAAAAAAGAAAATAAACTTTTTGATTAGTATGATTAGAACCTTTTATTTATTAAATTGGATGCAGCCAAATCATTAATACGGAATCTGATATAATTAAGTATTTAATCTTCCTTCATCATCTGGCATTTTATAAATCGAATCAAAATGTTATATTTATGGGGGCTATAAATTCGTGAAACTAGCTTTTCGGATGCTATACAGTTTTTAACAGATTAATTAATGCACGTAATTTATTTAAATAAAATAAGTTAGCTCTAATTAAATCAGCCTTTATGAATCAACGATAATGAAATGGCATTATTTAAACGTTTATCACCTTATATACAAAAAAATGAAGATTAACTTAATTATTTAAATATTTTAATTTTTATCTAAATCGTTAAAATATCTTGCCATGAAATATTAAATGGTTGCATTAGTGAATTTGTACAAATTTAATGGATTTTTTATGCATTTTGTAACTCAACTCGAATTGCTAAAGAATATAAATTAGCCTTATTTTTGATCGCATTTTGGATGAGTGGGCGATTATGGAAAACCGAGTGGGGCAAAAGAAATAGGTGTTTGAAGAATGAACAATATGTAATGAAAACTAATTGAACAAAGTATTATCTAGAACACGAATGAAAGAAAAAAAACTGATTATCAAAGAACAATTCTAAATTCTAATCATTCGATAACTTTATCAGTTTATGTAATAACTAGGATATCAAACTTGGGAATTGTAATAGCAGGACTAGCAGGAATTAAATTTTCGTTAGTTTATGGGTTTATGTAATTACCTAATCAATACTCGATTACTACTCATAAATAATTTGAAACATTATGCATGTAGGCAAGTTTTGTATGTATACATGCAATGTATAAATTATACCAACTGAATTGCATTTCTGAGTCATCGTATTAGTTGAGAAATGATCACATTTTACCCGCAGATTGCTAAATAAAAAAGCCACCTTGGTACAGAAAATGTACCTACAATTTATCCGATTTGTCTTTTCACAAAAGATTAATCTGTATCACCACTAATTGCTAATTTTACCGGAAACGATTTAGAAAAATGCGAAACTCGAAACAACTGTTCAATAAATATTAATTACACGTCGATAACGATAGAAACAACTTACATTTATGTAGTTTTGAACAAAAGCGACAACCACCGGGGCTTACCTCATATTTATTACTTATTTCTGTAACGAAACCAGTCGGAGCGGCGAACTCAAAACTAAACACAAAGACCTGTATATAACAGTACACTTATGTACCTATGTAAATATAAGTCATCTTTGTTACTGCCTGTCTCGGTCTTCGCCGGCCAGAGACTCAAGGTAAACTACTTCTTCGCTTCTTCGAAACCTCCGGTATCGACTTACTTTTTCCGTGATTACGTAATGATTCTTTTACCTCTGGATTAAAAGGAAAAATCGCACTCACCCTTCGTCCGTCACTGGTCCGGTGCAACCATAAGGCGCTAATCACTGTTTACTGAGACGGTGTACTTTGCAAATCGCTGGTTGGTGGTTAGTCGAATTCAACGAAAATTACTTTTACTTTCGAATACATCCCAGGTGTTCGCATTGTACCTGGTCGACGGTCTTTATTCTTTGCTTTTCTTTGTCTCTTAAATGTTATAGCCATCGTGGCGTCTTAGTAATAAGAACCCATTGATTACATATAAATTATTAAATAAAAAGTTTACAATTCTGATATTAATCTATTTAAATACATTTTGACATAAATTTGGGCAATATAGGCACTTCAAGTAATTCATAAAGTATTTCTTTTTAACAGTTTTTATATTTATGAGAAAATTCATTTTTATGCCAAAAAGCGCAATTATTTAGTTGCAATTTCACTAATTTAAGCATATTTTGTTCCCTAGTATTTGCGAGATAAAACGAAGTAAATTTGTTTTTATCGCATAATTTTGAATTTAAATATCTATAATTACCCGCCACTTATACCAACCTCTCCTGCGCGACCAATCAGAATTCAACAACTGTACCGCTTATCAAATGAAATAGCCTTCACGTCATTTCGAATTTGTCGGAAAACAGCGTTGCCAGATCGAACGAAACTTCCTGAATTGCTGGAACCCCAAAAAATCAATACATTTTTTTAATTAATGCTTGTTCGAGAAGTTTCTTTGACTAAATGCCCTTTAAGTATCCAAGAGCATTTTTTGTCAAGAAAAACCAAAGACACGATCTAAAATTAATAAGAGTCATATGTATAAATTCTTAAATTTATAAAACAATTATCCCAAAATATCAGAAAAAAATCAACTGTACTCATAGAAACGTTATTAAAAATATGACAAACTCAGTCCCATGAAAAATTACATTATAAACCTGGACAATTAATAGAAAAAATGAACATGTACAGAAACTTTAAATTCCTCCTATAAAATTCCTAAAACAACATAATTAAATTACTTGTAGAAAATAAACAATTTTGTTTATTTAACCAGCTTACAAAGGAGAATTTTGTCTCCAGTTTTATGCTGTAAAATGACAATTGACATTTCCGTACAGTGACCTTTTTCTAGAAAAAACAAAAACCTGATATTTATCAATAACTTCCGGCAACGTCGCACGGCTTATCCATTAAAGAACGAGACGACGTAAGCCACGTTTTCGATTCCACGAATGTTCCGACCAATCACAGCGTTCCATCTGTCGTGTAGACGGAGTAGCGACGACCTACGCTACGGTCCGTCCTATGGGAATCGCCGGTATAAAACAAAGACGCGACTACGGCGCGCTCGTCTGTGATATCGGCTTAATAAGCGTAGTATACACACCTCGGATTGTTTTTTGGCATTTTCAGAAGCAACTTCAACCGGGTTTTGACGTGTCGGAGTTCGTCCTAACAAATTTTCAAAATGAAGTGCTTAATTTTCGTCGCGATTTTTGCGTACATCTACGCAGTGCAGGCCGCTGTTTACCTCGAAGAAAAATTCAACGATGGTAAGTGTTTCATTAATAAATTCGGCTCGATTGAATAATGTCCGGTCGAGTGTGGTGTGGGGTACCGGCTATGTGCCGTACATAAACGTTAAATTACATCTCCTAATGCGTTTGTTGGGTGTTATATCGCTTTAATAACGTACGTTAATAGTTTAAACGACGTTTCTATTTATGTAATTGGCATTTTTAGACAGTTTTTTTAACAAGAACAGGTTGATTCCTTATCGGCTTTCATTCATTAAACTGATATTAAATTTGCAATGTGTCAAATATTTCGAAATGTTTCAGTCAATTAATTAAAATTACCTGTTAGTTCGATAAAGCCACATAAAGTAATTACCCACCAAGTAGTTTGATAAGCGTTTATTACTTCACTTTAGTTAATTACTCTATTAGATAATTTATTGTATTGCAGATTCGTGGGAGAAAAACTGGATTTACAGTAAACACCCTGGTAAAGAATTCGGTAAATTCGTTAGGACAGCTGGAAAATTCTTCAACAATGAGGAAGAAGACAAAGGTAATACAGCAAGTACACACAACATTACATTGCAAATTTACACTGTAATGTTCGAAGGAACTCGCCGGAATGTACAATAAACATTGTTTTACATTCTCCGCAGGTATCCAAACGTCCGAAGACGCTCGTTTCTACGCCCTGAGCAGGAAATTCAAGCCTTTCGGCACCGAAGGCAAGGACTTGGTGGTACAATTCAGCGTCAAGCACGAGCAAAACATCGACTGCGGCGGCGGTTACGTCAAAGTGTTCGATTGCTCGTTGAAACCGGAAGAAATGCACGGAGAATCCCCCTACAGGCTGATGTTCGGCCCCGACATCTGCGGACCCGGCACCAAGAAGGTTCACGTCATCCTCAACTACAAGGACAAGAACGTTCTAATCAACAAGGACATCAGGTGTAAGGTTGGTTGCTAACGGATCGTTTGTCGATCGATCGATTGTACTAACGGAAATATTATTCAGGATGATGTGTACACGCACGTTTACACTCTCATCATCAAACCGGATAACACCTACGAGGTACAAATCGACGGTGAGAAGGTTGAAGGCGGAGAATTGGAAGCCGACTGGGACCTATTGCCGCCCAAGAAGATCAAGGATCCCGAAGCTAAGAAACCCGAAGACTGGGATGACAGGTAAACGTTTAATAACCTTCTCTAAACTGACAGGTTCGAATCGTAATTCGTCTTTCCAGAGCCACCATTCCCGACCCCGATGACACGAAACCCGAAGACTGGGACAAGCCGGAGCACATTCCTGACCCGGATGCCAGCAAACCGGACGATTGGGACGATGAAATGGACGGCGAATGGGAACCACCGATGATCGACAACCCGGAATACAAAGGAGAATGGAAACCCAAGCAAATCGATAACCCTGCTTACAAAGGTACCAACTAGATATTTCTGAAGCTTTGAGTATTCTAATTATTATATTTGTAGGTGCTTGGGTACATCCCGAAATCGAGAATCCGGAATACACCCCGGACGCGAACCTCTACAAACAAAAGGAAATCTGCGGATTGGGTTTCGATTTGTGGCAAGTTAAATCCGGTACGATCTTCGATAACGTGTTGATCACAGACGATGTGGAATACGCGAAGAAGGCTCTGTCTGGACTGAAAGATACGCAAGAAGGCGAGAAGAAAGCCAAAGAAGAATTAGATAAGGCGGAAAAGGAAGCGGCCAGCAGCGAAGATGAGAAGAAAGATGATGATGATGAGGATGACGACGATGACGATGAAGAATCGAACAACGTTCCACCAGTAGAAGAAGTAAGTTGGTGATTTTTTTGTTAATTGTGTTTGTATTAACTTTTTTTTTTGTATTTGTTTCAGGATCATGATGAGTTATAAGAAAAATAACATGCGAGCTAAAAGACTTTTTTTATATAAAGTGTGCAGTGTTTTGTTCGATAGTGTGTACTCTGTTTCTTCTTGACTGATTTTTGTTAATTTTTGAACATATTCTAATAAAACACAAAATCCGATAAGTTGTTTTCGTACTATACAATTTGATTTGTACAAAATTACAATAAAATTATATTTTGTAAATATATTTATTTTCTATCGGATTCCCGGCAAAAATTATGTAATAAAATTCGTTTTGAACATGTATTCATTTTCCTACAATAAAACTTACTTTTACAAATTACCTTTCTTCTATACTATTCTTCTATACATCAGATTAAAATGTTCCTGCATTCAAATTAAAAATTATTGCTGCTATATTCTAGCAGATAAGAACAGGAAATTTTATGCAAACTACATACTATATCAAATACTTTATTGATCGAATAACGAACGACAAATTTATGAAAAAATAAATCTAAAAAGCACGTTCAACTTCCACAAAAACACTAGAAAAGAACGCAAGTAAAGGAGAACTTAAACCCAAACGAACCATTTTCGAGTCTACGTCATAAATTTATCTTTCTGTTCGGTAAGTATTTTAGCTGAAGACTTGGCATCGAGGAATAGAGTACCAATTTCTTCCACGTCGCTTTGGAGAATGTTGCTCCTTCCGTTAATTTTAGCCGTTAAAAATGACGGCGTCAAAAGCTGAACTGCATATCTCAGGGTGGCCTTTGTCCCAACTTCCCCCAAACTCGAGATTGCCTCCTGCTCAATTTCCAAACCTATAAACATCCAAACATATTAGTTTTCTAGTATATAGGGTAGTGCAGGTTTGTTTGCAATGTGATTCAATTCGATGAGTTCAACAAAGAAAGATTATTAAAATAAGAGTGGGTAAATTAAGAAAGTTACAATTCTACAATAACACTCTTTCATTTTGCTTTATAGTAGACTAATGGAAGTTTTTGTTGCACCCATAGTCCATATTGCACAAATGTACCTTCTGTCACAGCTCTCAATTTAATAATTTGCTCCATTTCGGATTTGTTGTAAGGAATTGTGCGTATAATCAGCAGTCTATCTAGCAGATCTAATGGTATTCCGTGTGGAGAAAACACATCATCGGTTCCTCTAATGAGACAACGACCTAAACAGAAGATTTCAATGTATTTTTATACAAAAAATAATGTATAATAAGTACCTCTATTAGTAGCAAAAATAACAATAGGTGCTATAGCGCTTTCCAAAGCTCTGTGGAGATAAGTGAATGTTTCTATATCCAACATATGAACTTCGTCGATGAATAAAACTCCAGGTACCAATTCCGCGATACCTTGATCAATGTATTTGTCAACGATTTTATTGATTTCTTTCCTGAGTTTATCCGTAATTTCAGTTTTCTTTGGTTTCAACAGTTGCCCCATCATGGATAACACGTCTTGACCACCCTGCGGTTTCGCATTAGCAGCATCCAAATCGTGCAAAGTAACGTCCTACAATCATTACTATTACCATCGAGAAATTTCCAAATAATCAAATTATCTTTACCTGTACAACTTCCTTCTTCTTGTGCACATCTCCCTTCGGAAGAGGTACATATTCCTCGGCTTCCAAATCGAATTCCGTGGCATAAGCATCGGACCTTCCCTGTCTTTTAACAGCTCCACTTGTAGCTTCAATGTAAATGACATCTCCCACTTCCACCTTCTCCTTTTGCAGGGCTTCGTATATGCTGGGATCTAGTTTCAATTGCTTGCTGCCCTTGGCTGTTCGCAAACCGATTACAACATGGCTAACAGTTTTACCATAACCTAAAAATATAATATGAATAATTCAATATTAACTGTAATAAAATTTTATATTAACCTCCTGCGGGGTTTTCTGTTTCGACGGGTGTCAGTTCGCTAACTTCTCCTTCGTAGACTTCCTTCGTTTCTCTAATTCTAAGACCAATAGCTCGCCGGAAATTCTCCATGAGCACTTCGGTTTTCTTTATTTCTGTGCTGTACACTTCTGAGCCAACCATTGGGCAAAATGGTACTTTGTTACCCAGTTCTTGTGCAATCGCTAGAGCAATGGCTGTTTTACCGGTACCTGGAGGGCCAGCTAGAAGCACAGCCCTGCCGGCCATTTTCTTGCTCTTTATCATGTCCACGACGACTCCTGCAGCCTTAAAACACAATTCAAATATATTTATTATACTTATGGAGTAATTTTTGATAAACTAACCTCTCTAGCCTGCTCCTGACCGACCAGGCCGGCTGCCGAAGGGATTGCAAAACCCGCTTCATCTAATCCCAAACCCTTTATGTGAGTATGGGCGCTTATTCTTTGAGTTTTCACGGTGCTTTTTACCTCTTCTACCTTCATTTTCGCGAAATTCTATCGTATCTTTGAAAATTCGACACACTTGTTTAATCGAATTTATTTTTGTCGGTATGGTAACAATAATATGTCAGTTGTCATTTGTCTTTAAGCTCGATTTACAATTTCTTCTTTTTAGTTAAACTTAAATTTTACTTAATACTTAACTGATAAAAGGCAATTGAATTAAAAAAGTAAAGACTGGTATAAAATAAATTGTTAATTAGAAACAAGAAACTAATAAATAAACAATAAACAAAAAAATACTAAATTTATTTTTAAATGTGTTACAAAATGACACAGGGGAAATTCAATTACAATTTTTTAATTAGGTTTTGTCGTTGTATGAATAAAGGACTCCGACATTTATTTGTTTTTATTAATTTTATTCAGAAAAGTTTTTAATTTAAATCTCCAAATTAAATGCAAATTTCAACAGAATAAAAAATAACAAAATCATAAAAAACAAAAGCGGAGCACAAGTCTAAAAATCACCACAAGGCTTTTAATGTTTTACGAGAAAAATAATTGCCGTAACGCTAAACGCGCAGTCAATGTAACTTTGGAATATGAAAAAGAAAACTGCGAAAACCGGGAAAATTCGGATATCCGGATATCCTCTTCTCCTGCTACCCCGACCGCCTTTCGGATCAATGGAGAGGTAATATAAATCCCCGAGAGAATCCAATCTGGGGACTGTAAAAAGCCAACAGCGGTGGCGTTCAGATTTCCTCTAAAATATTATTTTAAATATTTTATGTACAGTAAAAATGCGATACTCACGATTAGCTCAAATTAAATTTCAATCTAATTTTTTGCCTTGGAAATTTAAAATTGATAGCATCACCAGCAAGTTCTGATCACCAATTTGAACAAGGCCATAATAGCTATGGCCTTGTTCATTTTATATTTGCATTAATTTGTATTTATTATATTTTTTATATTCAAATAAGAAAAAAATGATTAATAATTAATTTGATTTATTTCTGGTTTAAAAATAATTACAGTTATTAATTCATTTGGGCTACAAAAATCAAATGAATGTTTAAAGTAAATTAGCCCGTCCTCAATTAATTTTAGATGAGAAAACCTACTTAAAGAAGGAGAACGAAATTTTAGGATGCACTAAACTTCTTTCCCCAATCCCCAATCCCCAGCAACCCGAATAATCCAGATGGAACGAACGATACCGAAGCCGCTTCCATCTCTACACTTCTGTTGCAAACAGCTCGCGCGCGCAAGTTCGCGCAGCCGCAAAGAGCACGTTACGACAAATTTTTTTCTAATTTTCAAAGGATTTCTTCGCACTCTAATTCATTACGAATAATTAACGATATTTGCGATGGAAACAATCCAATTAACGAATTGCAGCTTATTAAACGCTTGACAATTCAATCGAATCATTGATTGTTTTTAATTTGCGTGCGATCCGATCGCCGCCTTTAATTGAACTAATTTGCTTAATTTATTCAGATATTTTTTGATGTTATTTCTTTAAATAAATTTATTTTAGTCTTTAATTTTCTAATTATTATAGTATAGTCTTTATATTTTTGGATAAAAAATGAGTATATCCTCGATAATATGCCAGAATTGCCAACATAAAAGATTATAATAAATCGATTTACAATATCAATGTTTATAAATAAGAATCGAATGTAACTTGACATTGACAAATGCTGAATAATTATTTAACACCTGAAATACCGGCAACACACATTACACACTACAGGTAAATTTTATATTTTTTTGATGGAATTAAAATCTATATTATTAATAAACAGTGTATAATATTATCTGTTACAATTTTTAAAATATTATTTTATCTTGAATGTGACCAACGTGAAGTTTGGCCAATAATTGCAAAAATTAATATTATCTAACTTTTTTTTCAAAAATTATTTCGAAATGAACATTGAACTAATTAATGAACTAAATAAACTAATTAAATTAATTTACTTACATAAGTTTTGAAATACAATAATATTGTAGAAAGGATTTGATGTGTAATAAACTCGTTGCGACAAGTTCCAAATACCGGTTTCTCCCGCCTCTAGTCGGAACTGTCATGGAGTTCGTTTGACAGTGTAGATGTGTTTGTGTTTCAAAAATATCGCGATTTTTCGAGTTTCCACAAAAACCTCATCGATAATTTGTCGCAATTACCTGTATAAGTGATGTGTGGTTAATTTAACGAACGATTTCTGTCATAACATCGCTCGCATCGGGCGGGATCGTCGAAAAACCCGGTGACCCCCTGAAATAGATTTCCAGAGCAAGGAAAAAAAGTAAGTGAAAATTTCGCAAAATTAAGGTGGTTGTTCCATTTGGGTGAATTATTGAAATTTGTTAACTGGCTGGTATCGATTTTTCCCGTTGATTTGTTATTCTGCGAATATGTAACCTATAATTTTGATGTTACATTAAATTATAGGTTAATTTTGAAAAGAAAATTATAATGGTGAAAATTTATGCCAATCAAATTTGATTTTGGGGTTTTAACTTAAAAACGATAAGATATTTTTAGAAAGTAATAAATTTGATTATTTCTAGCTATTTTAATTATGTAATAGTATTTATATTAAATTCAAAATTTATGCTACATTATAATTTAATTATTTTGTGTTTGATTATTATTATTAGTGCTTCTGTTACTTAAATATGGATAAAGGCCCTAATATGCATTTTCAGTCTTTTTGGAATATCCCATTTTCATAAAATCAACTTAGGTATACCAATCCACAGATAACTTCAATGAATAAGCATATAAAATAATAATTATTAGAAAACATAACATAACAGTACAATAAACAAACATAAAGGAATTATAACGATCCTATCAAGAATGATAAATGTTATTTATTAAAATAATTTACCTTACACATATTTATATTAATCCATTCATTAAATAGGTAGGTACACACGATTTTAGTATAACCGATTATATTTTTTTCATGAAAATCCATCAAGCTCTTACGTTGATTAATCAAAAAAATCTCATATTTTTTATCTGGAGCGTGAGGTGTTTTTGTTGCAACAAATTTTTATAATCGATAGCAGCGACCTTGCGTGTTTGAAAGCGATAAACACACATTTCGAATATTCCAACGGAAAATATTTTTCAGAAATTTAAACGACGTGCTTTTAAATTAGGTGCCATTCTCTTGGTCTTACCTAAAAGCACGCGGTGATATGTTATGTAACACAGTTTCAATTCTTCGTTTTAAATTTAAAATGCACCTGCGGTAAAACTATTCTGAAACTGTCTTTTCAATAAGATATAATCAGTGTTCTGTACTTTATATGGGTAAGTGCAAATTTGTTTGCGCCTATCTGTATCTTATACAGTATGTCTCTTTATAAAAGAAAATATGTTCTTGCTTGCAGGTAAATCATATTAACGACTAATCCAGAAACTTGAACCTAGAATCCAAAAACCTGAACCCAGAATCCAGAAACCAGTACCAGAAATTGTACATTCGGTCTGTTAAAACTCACAGTGCCCGGCCGGGCAGCCCAGTTGGTTAAGGTATCAGCCTTGCTACTGGTGAAACGGTCGGATGGTAGGTTCGAATCCTACCGGAATTCAGTGGGCATAAGTTAGATAGACTTTAGCAAGTGCAAAAAAGTTTCTGTTTTCCATAAGCAGTTTTTTAATTCACGCCGGTAACCAGGCCGGATGAGATCTGATATCTCGTGATAAACTGATAGGGGTTGGTGGCACAAGAAACACACTTGTAGTCGGTATAGAATCACCTAGACAAAGGGATTATCCGGAGTTCTAAGGTGATTCGATGACCGTGGTTGGGAATCCACGATAAGCTCTAGGTCCTGTCCAGTTAGCCCTGGTAGCAGAAAGGTGAAATTAAAAAAATAAGAAGACGAACTTGCAGTTTTCTAATCTGTATCAAATTAAACATATTTTTCCAGCTTTTCTTCTTTATTGAAGAATTAGTTCCTTTTCTTTGTACAAAAACAATATTTAAAATATACAGGGTGTCCAGAAAATAGATGTCAATAATTCGGGAGCGTATATAAATGACATCAAAATAAGGTTACAACTTCATATAAATTTTATTAATTTGAGCCCCCATTTTTGAGCTAGAAGCCTTTAAAGTTGAAAATTTAAAACTTATTTTTACGTTTCATTTCCAAGTTATACATGGGAACAAAATAAAATTATTGTGGTTTATTATCTTCATCCGTCTGCCCAATTTGGTGATAAAATGAATCCTACACTATTCTCTGGAAGACGTTAATTTTATCGACTTCAAGCAAGAGTACATTTTTGATAGTTTATCGATTAAAGAATGTATTTACGATACGTTTGTGTTATACAGATTGTCCCCATAAAAGTTACGAATTGTTAACCACTGGAAACGCGCCGCCACTGTCTTCCAGAGAATAGTGTAGGATTCATTTTATCACCAAATTGGGCACACGAGTGAAGATAATAAACCACAAAAATTTTCTTTAGCCAGGCCAAAGGCACAATACCAAACACCAATGGCACAGAACTTTACTTTCTGGGCACAAAAATATAAAAAAAATCTATCTAATAGTTCCATACTTTGACTCCAATGCAGTATCTTTTGAGATATATCTCGATGGAGAGAGATATGAGATATCTGAGATATATCTTGAGATCATCATCACCTTAAAGCAACTTGTATCGTTCATTGTTGGATACATGCTCTCTTAACCTAAACTATGTTTCTTTGTCTTGGGTATCTTGGATCCAGATTGTACTTTTTCCTGTTTGAAAAAAAATTATGTGTTGAAATTCACTTCCTTATACACACTCAGAATTCCTGATCATCCAACGCTGTACATATTCTGAATAATTATTTTTCTCGCCCTTTGGTATGCTGTCGATTACCCGAAGCGATTAGTTTCCTTAGCGCAAATTGTAGAACCCTATTTGGCTTCCAGATTATCTTCGACAAGCCAATATTAGAGGCTAATTTTGATTGGTGCCTCTAACAATGTGCATTCTAAATATAGCGCGGGATAATTTTGCGATATCGATTTATCATTTACCTTAGTTATGCCGAATCCAATTTG